TTAAAATTAAGAAAATGAGATGAATCTTTAACTTCTGATTCTCTTTTATTTCCTGAAAGGAATAAAAAGCTGTACAAAGAGCAAAAAAAGATATGTGCCATTTATGAAGACAGTTCAGACGTGGAAATTTTGATCTGGAACACCGAGAATGTTTCAGCAAGCCTGCAGTCATTGATGATTAAAAAAAATCCCGTTCACATGGCACGAGATATCGAAGAGATACTCCACGTATCTTATATGAAAGTTGTAAGCCATTTAAAAAGACTTTGATCCATGAATCACTACGATGTTTATCTGATGTTTAAGTGAAGTCAAGTGGTGATTAACAAGCGAAAACTGCTGTAAAGAATTGGAATTGGCTACACCAGAAGCCAGTTTAGCGTTACGAAGCTGGAATACATGCAGTCGTTATTTATAGATATAAACTGTACATATTTGATGGTATTCCTTATTTCCTATATAATGAAACAAACTGCATTATTTTTTGTCTCAAACTTATATGTCATAGAACTGATTAAAATACTATAACAGAACTATGGAAGAAAGATTTATTCTACCATTTGTATTTCCCCACCACCGTTATGAGCATTATTATATCCTTGATATAATAATACCGTCGATCACAGACGGAACAGAATGGATGAAAGGAAAAGGAATGACAAACATACTTAGTTCTCAGAGAGCCTTTTATATTACTAAGACATACACAAAACTATCTCTATTTATAAAAGACAGGATATGTGTGTGTGTGTGTGTGTGTGTGTGTGTGTGCGTGTAACGAATGCACGGCTGCAATTTTCGACGGATTTGTACCAAAATTTACATGCACATGCTCCAAGTTAGCGGAAAGTCAAAGACCGACTTTGCATTACCCAACTCCCATCGATAGTGGAAATAATCGATTTTTTCATGCTTCTACAGCAGTTTTCATGTAGTTTGCGGCCATTTTGTACTGGCCAGAGTGAGAGCCTATAGCTGGCTGCCACGAATAGGCAGGAAGATTTTGTTGGCCAGCGTGAGAGCCAACAACTGACTGACACGAATGTTAACTAGCATGCTAGCATGCAAAAAAAAAAATCGATAGCTGCATTCGTCACAAGTGGGAAAAATTTAAATCTGCATGGCACTTTACTCGAATAGGCTCATTTGCTTGCTTAAACTCAACGTTGATTCTGATTCCGCAGAAATAGGTTGGGTATGAAAAAGTATTTGTTGTTAACATTTTTTTTTCATTTGGTTTTTCCAGTTACGAGTCCTTTTTTTTAAAGCTGATCATTTTGTGTTCATTTTGTTTAGTTCTTTTTTCGTAACAAATTTAATTTTTAGTACAGAGTTTAGAAAAATTCGCAGTGTGAGATAGGAAAGAAGTAAGGCATGTAGCAACATCAGCACGGCAAAGGGCACTCCTTTAAAGGCAGGGAAGGGCAAAAATATTTTAAGTCAAGTGATAGCGATTGCTGTATGAGCCGTACGATTTTTGAATCAAGCACGGGCAACGCCGGGCCATGCTGCTAGTACACGTGGAGAATAATATACATATCTTTACACAGCAAAGCAAAGTGGAAGGAGAAATAAAAGGAATGCTGTTACATATAATATGGGGATACTCCTGTGTCTGGAGAAGCCATGTTTAGAACTTCAGATTCAAACAGTACGGATTCATCTATGTACCAGTCGAGCAAATATTCCACGAACGGGAAACAGCGAGTGTTGAGTTTTTCCAGTTGAGGACTGCAAGCCGGAGAAAATATATATTCCCAAAGGGAAACGGCACCATAAACTTGTATATTGCTTGGGGAATATTGCTTGGACCCTGCTATTTGCTTGGGCTATTCTCTGGCTAAAGAAAGCAACTTTTCTTTTTTCCCCTGTAAAACGAACTGAAATTGTCTGCCGTTTTGTATGGTGTGATATCACTAAGCGATCGTGACAGGATTCAAGTGACTTATAACCACCAAAGGGAGATAATCGCCTTTTGTATCTACACGACTATCCTGCCGATGAATATGGAGTAATATGGAGTAATTCTGATTATCAGAAAGAGGCAGATGAATATTTTAGGATATATAACGAAGAATCTAACATTGAGCGGATACATTGAAGGAAATAGAGGTATCGGAAAGCGGGGAGAAACAATTGTTTGCCGGAACAAACAGTGAAACAATGCTCGTAAATGAGCCAATATTCGAGCAACAAGATACGTGAAACTGTTCCTATGTCCCTGCAGGTGATTGCAGCATAAAAAGAGAAATTCCTCGTCAACTGCTTTTTTATCCCCTTCATATCATATCATACAAACATGCTTTTCTATTTTTTCAAATCTACAATTTTATTTTTTTTATTTTTGTTGGTTTAATGTTTTTTTCTTGTTTATCATCCGTTTGGTAGGTTTCCCGCTATTTCTAAAACGTTATAAATGTCTATATGACTTGTACCGGCTTCTCTTTTGAAGCGAGAAAAATGCATTTTCAAGTATTTCAAAATAAAAATAAAAACATAGCTAACGTAGAAGAAATAAGAATCAGAAATTTTTCTTTCAAAAATGCAATTAGAAAAAAAGGGATTTTTTTCCGCTTTTAGTTTTTATTTATGTTTTTGGAGGTCGTGTTTGATTCTCTTTTTTGTTTGTGCTCTTCTCTTTCACAACTTCTCTTATGTCTTTCCCTTTTTACAACTTTAAAGTAATTCTCTCTCCTTAATTTTGTCTTAATATCTTTCTTTATTTCGCTTTTCGTTAATGTTTAATTCTATTTTCTGTTTCCTAAGATTGGTCTCTCTTTCTTTCTTTCTTTCTTTCTTTATTCGTTTTGATTTTAACGCTATAATACTTTACTTCTCTACCGATGTCACTTTCAATAATTATATATTTTATCTTTCATTCATTTATTATTTCTAATTCTTTTTTCTATTTCTACTTATTTTTTTCCACTATTTCTTGATATCTTCCCTCATTTTTCGCTATTCTCTTTCTTTCTTTCTTTCTTTCTTTCTTTGATTAGTCCTTCTATCTTTCTTCATGTATCTAATTATTATTGATTTCTTTTTTAATTTTTTGATGGCTTCTTTAATTTTTCAGTACATTATCTCTCTCTCACTTTATTTATTTCCCGAAATATTTTTTCCTTCATTCGTTCACTAATTATTCTTTCTTTTTGTCTTTCTTTTTATTTCTAATTCTAATGCGTTTCTTTTCTTCATCTTCTTATTTTATGATGGCTTTCATCATTTTTCACTATTCTATATATATCTGTTTTTTTCTATCCTCAATTATTCTTTCTTTCTATTTGTAATTTTTATTAGTTTTTCTTTCCGTTTATTTCTTAATGTCTTCTTTCATTTTCACTATTCTATCTTTCTTTCTTTCTTTCTTTTATTGATTAGTCTTTCTATCTTTCTTCATATTTCTAATTATTATTGTTTTCTTTTCTTTTCTTCTATTTTTTGATGGTTTCAATCATTTTTCACTATTTTCTCTCTCTTTCTTCCTTTATTTCACGAAATATTTCCTCTTTCTGTCTTTCTTTTTATTTCTAATTCTTATGCATTTCTTTTCTTTCTTTCCTTATTTTATGATAGCTTCCTTCACTGTTTACTATTCTATCTCACTATTTCTTTCTATCATTAATTATTTTGTCTTTCTTTCTTTCTAATTTTTATTAGCTTATTTTCTTTTCCTTTATTTCTTGATAACTTCTTTCATTTCCATTTTCTTTCTTTCTCTTTCTAATTCTTATTGATTTCTTTTCTTTTATTTCTTGAGAGTTTCTTTAATTTTTCTCTTTGTTTGTTTGTTTGTTTCTTTCTTTCTTTTACTAATTATATTTTCTTTTGTTAATTATTATTTCTTTATTTAATTAACTATATTTTATTTCTTTCTTTCATTAATTATTCTATCTTTTTTCGTTTCTTCCATTAAATATTCTTTATTTGTTTCATTAATTATTCTTTCTTTCTTGCATGAATTATTCTTTCTTTTTTTTCATTAATTAATCTTTCTTTTTTTCATTATTTTTCTTTCATTAATTAATCTTTTTTATTTCTTTTCTTAATTAATCTTTCTTTCGTTCTTTCTTACCATCTTTTCCAATTGTTTCCTCCTTTCCTAATTAATTATATTTTTCATTCTATATCTTTTTTCTTGCCTTTCATTTCCTCTTTTTCTCATTTTTTTTTCTTTCGTATCTTCCATATTTGTCCTTTCTTTTATCCCAGTGTATCAATGGACATGTAAAAAGTGTAAAGCAGAAAGATAAAAGAAAACGTCTGGGCTCAGAATGTCATAGGGGAAACAGTTTTTTGGCGTCATTTAGTACGTATAGTTGAACATTGGGGTCGAATGATCAGCCTATTAAATTGATTCACTCTTCTTCCATTTTCTAACCTCTCTGCGCCTGCACTTCCGGTTGGCATTAACGTGACGAACGTGAGCTAGAAAACTCTGCATCATCGTCATTATCAAAAGCATCAACGACAACAGAAGTAATGAAGCTCATAATGCTACCAAAAAAGCTGCTGGTAAAAAAGAAAAAAAGAAAAGAAAGAATAATAAAATATGACTAGGAAGAAGGTGATTAAGAAAAAGATAATGACAATTAGCAAGAATATTTCAAAGAATACGGCCGCATTGCATTGATAATGACGACGTCGAGGACAAAGAAAACGACGAGGTTATTACGAAAAAGAGTAGTAGTAATAGTACTATCAAATATGAATAAAGGTAGCAAGATGCAAAAGAAACAGCATTGGTTGATTTGCTTTTTACGGCTTACCAACCTTTTACAGGCCAGAAGATGTTTTTTGATTATAAGAAATTTTTGAAGATATTAACAATTTACTGATACAAGTTCTACTATTTAATCCATACCTGCAGGGAGAAGAAGTCAATTCATACCTTTCTCAAGGTTAATTGCGCGTAATGAATACAACGAACCCGAATTGGAATTCGGCTCTTCGAATCCAATTCCAAGACTTTATCCATTTACATCACCTGCGCATCCAAGCTTACACCACCAGGTATTCCCAAGCGGTCACCCATCTTGGTACTGCTCCAGCTCGACGTTGCTTAGCTTCGGTGATCGTACGAGAAACAGTGTTTCAACGTGATATGGCCGTAAGCCTAAAAGAAACAGGTGTAATAATATACTTAGAAGACAGCTCCGTATGCCAGCAATCCAAACAGTCGAAAACGAGTTAGCCACCGACTACACCCGAACATATACCCGAAGGTCAAACATCAAAACCTAGAACAGCAAAAGAGTATTTGAGAAGACAAATCTCTACATGGGCAGTACCAAAAATGATCCAATGGAAGAGATGTGAAGCATTTCCAAAGAAAACGATGGCTAAGAACTGCTGGTATAAAATCTGATGGGTTTATTAATGCTGCTCAAGACCAGCATTCGGGTATTCAGAGCAATTACTACCGAAAAACATATTGCAAACTGTCTCAAGCCAATGTAGTGGATATGCAACAAACAGCAAGAAACATTAGACTCTTTAGTTTCTGAATACTGAGATTATAGTTAAAAGAGAAAAAGCACGGCAAAGCAACTGCATACCTCCACTGAAGTTGTAAGCGCTATGATGTTAAAGTCAAAGAAAACATTTTGAACATGATCCCTTCATTGTAACAGAAAACGATGAAGCTAATATTCTCTGGGGAATGACAACCCAAATTGATGATAGTGAAGGACAAAAAAGAACTTGCTTGCTCATCAACATTTCTTTTCCCTTCGAAAGAAGTATCTCCCTGAAGAGTAGAGAAAAAAAAACTCCCCAAAGTATAAAGAGCTACAAATAAAAATTGAGAGAACGCGGTACATGAAGGCCACAGCAATACTAGTGCTAATAGATACGCTCGGGCTGGACAGGAAAAATACACCAACAAAATCCCTGGCGAGATAAAAGGAAATCAAGTCCAAAAGATCCTCCTCCCCAGCACTGATCATATATTAAGACCGACTCTATCCATCAAATATATCCATGCTATCCAGAAGTTCAAGAGATGTTTTCAGCTCAAATAAAGCAGAATATTAAGATGAATAATAATAATAATAATAATCCAGAAATAATTGACTATCTTGTATCAAGTTGCACGGTATTGGCACCACTGGATATAAAACATGGCATGACAGATTGGGCCAATATCTGCACTGGACAATCTGCAACTTTTACGGAAATGAAACTGAAAATAAACACCACCCTGACAGGCTTACAGAGGTATGACCTGTAACAATTTCATGTGACTTTACAATACACAGAGACAGAACGATCAAAGATAATCGCTCAGACATCGTGATCAGAGACCACAAAAACAAAATGTTCCTTCTTATTGACATGACAGTCCCTGTAGACTGTAATGTATCTTTGAAGATCTCCAAAAAACTATCAAAATACAAGGACCTTGAAAACGAAATCTCAAAAGAATAGCACATGAGGACATCAACAATTCCAGTTGTAGTTGGAGCCCTCGGATTGATTGGAAAATGTTCCGATAGACTCATTAAGGGTTTTATGGTAGACCAAGCCTTAAAGAAATGCAAAAAATTGTACTCACAAGTTCAGCCCACGCCTTACGAAGGGCTTTATCTATGTAAAATGTGTGATTTTAGGCTTTTTTCTAAAAGAATGCTTGGTGGAAAATGTCATGATGTCTTACGTCTCAGAAATCAAAGGAAATAATAATAATAATAATAATAATAATAATAGATTCATTACAACTTCAAGAAGACCAGATCTAGTTAACACAATCATATGGAGTTTGTACATACGATCCTGGAAATATGGTTGGTTTTCTGTACCGCTCCAGTAAATACTCGACTTCTAGTGCTATCATCTATTTTACAAGAGCCAGATAAAAAATATAATAGAAAACTGCTGCCAAATATGGGCAGGAACTGCCCAGGTTTCACTTTCAAATCTTCCAAAAACGTTTTCACGCCATTGTGGATGAGAAACATCACAACATTCTCACTGCTGTATTTCTATTTCTATAGAAAGTGCTCAGACGAACCTACATTCCTTAGTTCCACAATTACTAACCTTAACGGATAATACCTTCCATGCTATGCATATTGTAGCAAACCACTCCGATTCCCTTCGTATTGCATTGGTGAGATATAAGCTCCAGTGGAGCAGCTGTTTCCCACGAACCGCTGCTCTGGGGAGCCAACTTTTAAGAGGGTATTTTCCCGATCAATACAAACCTCACCGAGTCAAATCTAGGGTTAACCGTTATTTTCCTCATATATCAGTATAAACTGTGACCTTTATTCTTCAACCCTGTACCTTGAGCGGCTCCCGGGTTAAAATCACTGTAAGAAAAAGATCAAGATGATTTATGAGACTGCGGCTATCCCTGTTCTAACAGAACACAAAGTAATATTGACACCAAATGAAAAGTCGGATAAATATATAGACCTAGCAATAAAAGTGTTATATATAAGGTCATCCCATAAGTTCTGTTCGAATTTTAACTTTTTGTTAAAATGAACGAAATTTAAAGAGTATTTTATAATGTCTAATGGAGCTGAACATTATTTTTATGTTTAGATGCATTTAAACTGATCAAATTTTATTTCAGAGAACAATAAAATTAAATTTTGTTTGATTAAAACCCTGCCAACATGGAAGTACCCAAGAATCATTTGAGGCACATAATACTTTATGAGTTCAAGAAAGGAAACTCAGCAGCCGAAGAGGCTAGAAACATTCACTCAGTTTATGGAGAGGAATTTATTTGAATGAAAGAACTTGCAGAAGATGGTTTGCAAAATTCAGAGGTGGAGATTTCACCCTTGAAGGTGAAGATCGAACCGGACGTCCAGTTGAGTTTGATTCCTTGAAGAAAATCCTGCTTTATCAGTTGAGAAACTTGGTTGGGCGAAAATTCCTCATCCACCTTATTCTCCCGATCTTGCTCCCTCAGACTACCATTTGTTTCGTAGCTTACAGAATCATTTGGAAGAAACAGCTTTTGTAACACAAGAAGAGGTTAAAACTGACATTCGTGAGTTCTTCTAATCAAAGCCAAAAGAATTTTACAGTAATGGAATTAGTAAGCTTGTTAATAGATGGAAGGAAGTCATAGATAATCGGGGAAAATACATTGTTGATTGAATCTGTAATTAAATGCAACATTTGATCACTTGTTTTCTTTATTCAAAATTCGGACAGAACTTATTGGATGACCTGATAGAAATAAAGTGTCGTTGCCTACACTGGAGTTTGAACAGGGATCCCCAGTGAGTAAATCCCATTTTGAATAAGTAGATCACATAATGTAAAGGAAATGCATATATGGGAATTAGCGGGGCGTCTAATAGATCACTCTTAATAAGCTATCCTCTATGACTATACTGATCACTATTTCTACACTATCCTCTATTACTCTACGGATCGCTATTCTCTATACTATTTCTCTATACTGATCTCTATACGGATCACTATTCAGTGGTTACTTTTCGAGTGAATATTATTGAGCAAATACTATTAGTGCGAGTGCTATTCGAAGGCGTCTGACACCAGTATTGTTCAACGGCGTTACTATAGTTGTATCTGCGATTACAAAGTTTCTACTACAACGAACATTACGAAAGTGACAAGGAGTATTCGTTGACATTACAAAAGTGGCAACGAGTATTTGTTGACATCACAAAAAAGTATAACAAAAACCTAATGTATGATGACAGGGTTGATTCTTTTTTTTTTGTCGTAGCACTTGGAAGATTGGGATTTGCTTGACGGGCTGGATGGAAGCACTTACAGGAAAGCTTATATACTCGATCATACTTAACACATTTTATAGAGTGTTTAGAATTTAGGGGCTTTGCCTCGTTTATTGACGAAAGGTGGTTTGCTGAATTCTGGTAGCAACTACTGGCATCAAGTGATTTCGAAATACAGAATTTCTTTCTTAATAATTATAGACTTGATATAGTAGTGAAGGAAGGTTCTTGCTTGTTCATCGATATGTCAGTCCACACCGATAGAAAACTAGAGAAATCTCTGCAAGTAGAAACATCTAGAAATAGAAATTTACAGAATTTATGGCATGAAGACCACAACAATACCAGCGGTAATAGGTACACTCGGTATGATAAAGAAATAGATGGAAATATACGCTAACAGAATCTCTGGAAATATCAAGGTAAAATAAGTCCAAAGGATCGCCCTCCCTGGTTCTGCTCATATATTCGGTGGAATCTATACCCGAGGATTATTCAACTTTGTGTATTTGTCCTGGCGGATCCAAGTTGCAACGGCCAGGGATTGTAGATCTATGGAATTTAGCCTGTCAGAACACTTGCCATGGAAATAGTGAAAGCAGTGAGTGACGTAAGACGTTTCGACTGTGGCAAAAGGGTTGTAAATTTTAAAATAATTCATCATCCAAAAATCATTGTAGAAGTTTTCGAACTCTATAATCCCAGATATGACAGTAATACTTTATTATTCGTATGGTAAGATAAGAGTATAGCAGGGGGAATAAGATACTTACTGAAGTGGTACAATGAACTAAGGCTTTTCCCAACATTTTTAGAAATACGTCGGATATGTGGGTTCCACTTAAGGGCTGGGGTGAGCTTGTGTCTCAGTAGATGTCCAAAGCAAGGAACTTCCTTGAGAAAACTCCTTTCCATGGTGAGAGTACAGGGTCTGCTCGTGGAGGTGGAATGTTACTAGTTTGATTTTGAATATATCGAATTTTACAAGCCTTGTAAAATATTTTGAAAATACAAGAAAGAATGTAAAAATATCTAAACGCTGGCGTTCTAAAAATCCATTAGAATATTAAAGAGAGTGCTGCAGTCGTGATGAAGTATGCTCTCACTTGATCTTCAGTGTAGGTCACCAATTACCCTTGGTGTGAAAAACACAGCGAGTAAGAATGGTCATAATAATAATAGGGGGGATAGCTATTAGAAGAAAGAAGGGGAAGTAGCAAGAAGGAACAAGAAAAAAAAAATAAAGAAGCTAAAAGTAGAATCATGGTCTTGAGAATGAAAGAAGAAAAAAGATCCCAAATCAGAAGGCTTATCATGACAGGCATTTATTTGGTGGAGCGGATATCTATTTGTGCGCATGCGTATGAGATTTTGTGCATCGCTTCTCA